CCCAAAGTGACTGAAAGCAACATTATATACCTGAATTCAAAAACAGTTTTCCTTAATTACAATTGGAGAACCATTTGGAAACTCCAGAGCTCTGCTCTACTTGTGTCAGGACATCAGCCAGTTCTTTTCTTCTCTTTGTGGTTCAACTTGTCATGAATGTTCAATCAGTTCTGAAAGTTGAACTAAATGAACTTGTTTGTCATGTTTGTGTCTCAGTATTTCATGTTAAAATTATTCCATGTGTTTTGTTTTGTATTATGGTAACATACAACTTCATACAGTTCAGAAAATAGAACTAGTCGACTTTTGCATTCGTATTTGTTGCGCTAATTTGTGCTAATTATGATCAACTTCTACAAGTTTCCAGATTGTGAATCAGTGACATGATGAACAATAACAATAACAAGTTCAAGCTTTTATCAATTAATGATTCCTGAGATATTATTGTTTAACGTAGCCTCAAATTTCAATGTCCGAAAATATATGATGAATGTGGCTCAACGTGCTTCTAATTTATATGAAAATATTTGATTTATCATTTTAAAATTTTAGGAATAAAATGGTGAATGTAGGACAATTTGAAAATCTAGAGTGTGTGTGTTCAGTGAACTGTATCAGTCAGTTTCTGTTCAGTCTGACTGAGGGAGGTTTTTGTACGACGCTTTTTCACTGTGTGAACACATCCTGACTGTTGATGGAATGAAAACTCTGACAGTAATAAACTGCTGCATCTTCAGTCTGGACTCCACTGATGGTCAGAGTGAAGTCAGAGTTTGATCCACTGCCTGTAAAACGAGCTGGAATTCCTGAATCTCTGCTGCTAGCACGATAAATGAGACGTTTAGGAACTCCTCCATCTTTCTGTTGGTACCAGGCTAAACGATTAGAGCTATAAACATCCTGACTGGTCCTGCAGCTGATGGTGACGGAGCCTCCCAGAGCAGAGGTCACTGCTCCAGGCTGAGTCACTGTGACCTGTCCTCTGGACTCTGAGGATACAGAGACACAAACAGAAAGCAGCGTCATGGTTGTGTGGCCTTCATTTCAGAGGGACGCATGTTGAT